GTGCGCTGCCATGTCAGCAGCCAAGCCGGGACGGTGGGAAGCACGCCGCCACAATTGCATACTAAAAAGAAGGGAGGGCTGAGATAACTACCATCTTCTCGGTGTGTAGGCCGTTTAAAAAAAAAAAATAACATATAATGATTCCCGCCTTATTGCAGTGTTTGGGTTCCAGATATAGCCTTGCTTGGGAAGGCCGGTATGACGCTGAACCAGGCCAAATGAGCATTTCCTGCTTTTAAGTAATATGATGTCAGGAATCCAGCTCGTCGGAAACACCCAGCTCACGTCCCTCTGCCCCAGCGCCAGACACTCAAAATGAGCTTCAGGTGAATAACACCGCCTCACCCGGACTGTGCGAGTGACACTCCACGGCTCAGGTCCTTTCAATGCTTGTTTTAATCACTCTAAGACAAAGCTCGGTACGCCTCATGCCTAGGAAGTGGCTTAGCTCACTCAGAAACTCAGGGACTTGCCAGAGGCCTTAGATAACCAAGTAAGATTTGTTTTAGCTGCCCTCAGTATCCAAGGTATTTCCTACTGTAAGTATAAGGAAACATTGAGGATACTTAAGCAACCATATTTGTTTATCTTAGGTCAAGCTGGAGAGATTGTCCGGAACCACTACTGCAGCTGCACTTAGCTTGTTGAAGGGCTGCATTTGCACGGAGCGCCCCGCTTCCGACTCCATGATGGCAAAGGAAAACCTGCAGCAAGAGCCGAGCTCCACGGGGAAGGGCACACGCAGCTGCCGAGAGAGAGAACCTGAGCAGATGCCTCCAGACACTCGCTACGCTTCATTAGCCTGGGCCTCAACTGGGCCAATTCCTGTGTAAGGAGGAAGCCAGAAGGGAGAAGAAAATCACCAGCATTCCTTCCCTCAAATTTCTGAGTAGGTAATTACCTGAAGAGAGGCAGACATCCAGACAGGTTTCACCTCAGGAGGAGGTGAGATTCTCCAAGCCTGTGCATCCAAAGTGTCGTAGGAGGGCAACTCCACCAAACTCAGAGCCATCTGCTCAGCCGGATGAGGCGTGAAGCGATGCTTTGCTGGTCCTCCCCTCTGGCCGTGTGGCTCCCACCAGTCGCAGGGGACAGCCACCACCTGGGTCATGGATGGTGTCTTAGTAATGGCTCTGCAAGGCACCAAGTGGGAGGTAACTGTGACTACTGCAGGGACACGGTGGGATTTTCACACCTCCTGCCTGTTCCCTGCTACGGCTTTCTCAGGTCACTCAGTTCACAACCCACATTTGCTGAAAAGGTGGGGGAAAAAACTACAGCACTGTAAAATGAAAAAAAATTGGACCAAAGTTATTCTAACAAAAGAAAAGTGGACCCCAGAGATGAGTGTTTGGAGAACAACAGTGCCTTAGCACCTGCGCGAGGCTCTGGCTGGACAAAGAGCGGTTGAGGAGGCCATGCAGGTCAAAATGTCCCAACATGGGCTCTCATCCTGGAATCTGATTCACACAGATGAACCCTGGTGCTTCCCTGCAGTTAATGGCAGGGATCAGGTGCCTAAATTTACCCCCTGAAATCCATATATTGATAGCAAAGCAATTAGTTTGATAATCTAAGGTGTCATGCACCCATTTCGGCAGGGATTGTGAAGGCTGAACAGATCTCCCAAAACGGGTAGGTGCTTCGATGATGCTCGTATACAGTCCTTGATATGCAGGGAGGACTTGCACTGACATTACAGACTCAGGAGTCAAGGGCAATACGTAACCCATTAGCCACAGCCTTGCAAGACACAGATCACCTCTGCACTGCTGTCACAATTACTGGTTTTTAATTGTAACAGCTCCTCGTGCAAGAAAGCGCCTCCGGCTCCGCGTCCCAACCCGCACCTCCACCGAATGCTGACTGCTCTCTCTGCTGGCCAACTGGGAAATGGTATTTTCTCAAAACGGTCCCAGTTGTTTATGTTTGCAGAAACGCACTGACCAAGCAAACGCACGCCAAAAATATGGCCAGGTTTTTGTCTAAAGTCCTAAAGAGGCAAATAAAAGAGGTCAGCTATTAAGTAAACTATATTGTTAACTAAAAAGCATCAGCAAAGAGGAGAAAAATGCAGGAGAGATCCAGGCATGCAGCTTACTGCATCAATAACCTGACGGAGGTGAGAGGACCTGTGAGATGGGATGTCCCGCCATTATGAGTATAAAGCTACTGGGGTCTTGCCCTGACACATCCAGAAATAAAAGCGTTGGAGAACTTCCAGTGACCAACAGAATACAGGAGCTGGGAGACCGTGGGATTGTGAGTAACTCACTTAAGGGCAGGGGAGCTTCTCCTCTCTTTGGTCAATGCCTGACTCAAAGGTGACCTGGTCCAAAACACCACCGCACAAGGGCTCTCAGCAAATAAATGCTGTAATAACAACTGGGTGACAGAAGGGCTTCACTGTGGGAAGGGACAAGGTAAAGAAGGCTGAAAGGGAACAGGAAGCTAACCTACACTGAGAAATCGTTGTACTGAAAGTGCAAATAAACAGCTCATCTTTGTGCTGAACACTTCAGGACATCATCTGGACAGAGGGAAGATTATAAATCTCAAGGGGCCACACAGAGCAGAGGTGAGCACATGCTGTGCCACTGCACCCCAGCAAACCAGGCTGTAGTAACATCAAACCTTTGTGTTATTTCCTGCCTCACAGCAGGACGAGCCCAGCTCCCCTGCATCAAGGAGTGAGGCTCTCCCCAGAGCAGCACTTGCTTTGGTTGGGTGGCCGTACTTGCCAGCCTGGAGCTGTACCTCAGGACCACCTGAGGATGACCGAGTCATGCCCTGCCATATGGCATACCCCATACGTATGGGGTGAAGCAAGTAGCTAATTATGGTGAAGCAAGTATCTCCTTGTAGTTGGGGCCCTAAATGAGCACCTGGTGTATTCCTGAATTTTGGCTTGCTGATAGCACACCTTCTGAAAAGGTAATGAAATGCCACCACGCTTGAAGGGCAACAGAGACAGCACCACAATATCAACACCCTCAGCACTGAATGAAACCGTTCTCTGGCTTTTACCTATCCCTCTGGAATGACAACTTTTTACACGAGCCACAAAAAGATTGTTAATTATAGAAAAGCTATCATCACACACACCCAGCCTGCTACATGTAAAATTAAGCATCTGTTCAGAATGATTAGAGACAAAAAGGAATGTGTCTTCACATTGATTTTTTTTAAAATGTGTATATTCTGTTCTCCTTAACAGCCTCGATCCTGGAACCAGATTAAACCAGGCAAATTCTTGTGCCTAAGCCCCACTAAAGGGAGTGTGACACGGATTTCAGAACCGGACACCAGCTGAGGATGGCAGCCCAGTATTTAAATCAAGTGACATTGCTCAAGTACGGAGGGATGAGAACCTAATGTTCTGCAACAGCTTAAAGGGTCTGTTGAGCAACACACAGGAACTCTGTGTATAGGAGATTCAGTCGCTAAAAAGTGCTTAAGGTAACCTGTTCATCTAAAACGTGGATCTTTGAATTCTCTCTTCTGCTATTGTCCAGCCCGGGCAGCGCATGCAGTGCCCTGGACTCTGGGTGAGCATCTACACAGGGCTCTGCAGGCAAATTTCTGCTGCCGGGCACATTCACAAACAGGTTTCACATCACTCAAAAATTGTAAGTAACATTTTCGCTCAATCAAAGCATGCCTGCTACATCAGTGCCAGCAGAAAAAGATGCCATTTCATCCAAACACCACCAAATCAGACCTTTTACACAGGTGTATCTGGTCAAATCCAGAGCTCCGTCCTCTTGGGAGAGCTCTGAGCACCTTTTTATCACAAATCCCGAGTTCCATCATCTCAATCACTTCTGGTGAAGCTGGTTCACAGAGACAGAAGCTACAGATCAACTCTCCCACTCCACAGACAAGTGCCCTGACAACTGGTCTCCTATCTGTAGTCCGTGCTGGCACCCAAGGAATCCATGGGGCAGCTGCCCATCCGCACAGCCAACCAGCTGCGCTGCATCTGGCAACACAAAGTGTAAGTTCCTACGTTCAGCCACAGAAAGACACATGTCTGGATGAAGTGAATCAATCCCACAGTCCTTCAATGGTCTGTCTCTGCTGTTAACATGCTGACAACATTCTCTGGAAATGATGGGAAATACAGTAATAGAATATGTATATAGCAATACACCTATATAAGAGTAATATACATACAAGCATCTTTGAAGTTTTTCTATTTTTCTATACTTAAAAATAAAATGATTCCTTAATACTTAAAAGCTCTATGGTATTTTCCTTCAACAAGACTGAAGTCCACCAGAAATGTTTATTGTAGTCTCAATCCCAGCTGGTTTCCAAGGCCTGACTGGGTAAAGCCCTGAGCAGCCTGGTGTGACCTGATTTGAACAGGAGATTGGACTAGAGACCGCCTGACCCTTCTAACCTGAATTACTCTGCCAGCCTGTGACTCTATGATACACTAGTATGGAAAGTAGAACGGGTCCAAAACCAGAGAATCAAATACCCCATTTTAGCCTGTTTCTGTAATGCCATGTTTACGGCACTCGTCTAAGACGTGGGAGACTTTGCTCCAAACCCCCAGTCCATGTGAGGGCTTTCCTGGCTTCCCCTGCAAGGATGCAGCTTGATGTCACCTCGGAGGAAATTCAGCAGCAAGCGACCCTGTATGGGGGAGGCTTTCTCATTCCCTTCCCCCCAACCATATGTTCCTCCTGATTTCCTTACACCAGCACGAGCAGCTGTCTGACCTCGTGGCAAACCAGTTCAAGGAGCTGAGAGGCAGAAAAAAAAAAAATCCCCTTTGCTTTCTGTCGATTTAACTTCCTACCCCAGATTAGCACCGGGCCAGACAAACACCAAGTGCGAGCCCGTGGGGGCAGGTGAGAACACCCAGCCAGAGCACGGAGGAAAAGCAACTGCATCTTCCAGCAACAGTCAGCACAAGGACAGTTGAACTGAAACAACAGGCATTTAATCCTCCCCTCGTACAGCACAGAAACCAAGACACTTACCTAGTTTTTACACGGGGCATGGGAGTTCAAGATTGTGCTAATAAATCTAGGCTCCCTTAGTGGTTCTGGCCTTTAGGCTTCTGCTAAATAAGCGTAATTGATAAAGTCAGCGACTGACCCCCTCTGTTTATGTAACAGAAGTCATAACATAAAGAAAATATACTGTATCTCACTTCTAAGATATGTCAACATTTAACAGTTTGAGCTACATTGTTCAGTATTTTATGTATACATTTTTCCCAAAGCTTTTCTTAACAGCATGTAAATGCTCTTTTCAATTTGGGCACAGTGGATGGAGAAGTAATATGCTTACGGTGGGATGTCAGCCTTTGATTTGACATATTAAAACCCAAGTTCATTCTTACATAATCAAAATAAAAGTTTTTATTCAGTTCATGATATTTCTGACTGGGTATTCTATTTACCCAAATGCTTATTCCATGTAAAGAAATGTAAACCATAAATACAACATAAGAGCAGCAAAACAAAACACACCCACTCAAAACAGAAGCAGTGAGAACTTTGTTCACTTCACTGTCCTTCCAAGGAACAGCTGTAATCCGTCTGGCTGCCAAACCGATGCACAAAGTCTGGGAGGGGGAACACTGAGCCCCATCCCACTTTGGGATTCATGCTGATGAAATCATCCAAGTTCATCTTGGAGTCTAAAAAAGGACCAGAAAAGGGAAATATTTAAGTTCCTGATGCAGCTTCTGTAGCACAGGTATATATCTATCATGAAAATGCCCAAAACTCCCTCTTTGATAGTTCAGCTCAAAATAGCGACGAGTTCATACACACTCGCTGAGCAACAGTCCAGCAAGATCCTGTAAATTGCACGGTGCTACAAAAACATCTATTTCCAGTCCCTGAAATGTTGCTTTTGCCCCTGATCCCCCTCTCTGCCCACGGCAACAATGACATTACTGGATCAGTAACCATCCTTAGCCATTAGAAACCAGCACATGTAGGAAAGAGTAAGATTTCTCCCTTTAACAGCAGCCTCAAAGGGTCGAGTAGCGTCAGAGAACTGGAGTGCAAATAACAGCCAACACAGGGAACTGCAACGCAACAGGAGCCTGCAGTCTTCCCACATTCACACAAATCTGATCACTCCAAAGCAGGAGAGATATTGTTCCCCCACCAAGTTCTGAACCAAAGTCACCTTTTGACAGACTACGGAGGAACCGGATGGGAGCAGCAGTCAGAATTGGAAGTTGCTCCACGTCCCTCGGAAGTGATTAGCCCCTTGGCAAACCAACAATTTGTTACTCCCCAGACTACAGTATTTGCTCTGCGTTTGCTTTTCTTCCAGCCCTGAGCCTTGTCCTTGCTGCACACCGGCCCACTGGAACACACGGACCAGCGGAGAAGTCTGGGGTAACCCAGCCCACAGCCCAGAGGGATGCTCAGGCAAAGAAGGGCATAAGCCTAAGCTGGGAGCACTTTTTTTTCTGAATCCTGAACCACTGAATGAAGTCAGAGGGGGCAAAAGTTAACTGCCATCGTTTCAAGAGAAAAGTAACTGTGACTACTCTTTGCCAGGAGTTTGATCTGCTCTGACCCCTGCAGGAGAGGAAGAAACCAAACCATTTTGTCATCTGTGTGGATCCCAGAGAGCTCAGTGGAAAGCTCTGGTGGGCAGTTTTGGGTTTAGGTGCCTCATACATCCTTTCTCTGGAGCTGGCCTGGTACAAGCTTTGCTGACTCAGAACCACGCTGATCAGAGCCTTCCAAGTCCTCAGCCTATTCAGCTCTGACTACAAACATCCATGGGCTTGTTGTTTTATGTTCTCACTGACAATCTGTGCGAATAATCTTTTTAAATGCCCATTAAAAGAAAACTGGAAGAGAATGAGTTTAAAGAACAGAGTGGGAGAGCCACTGGATTTACTGTTATAGCATTCCTGCTGCATTTAAGTATTTATTTTAACATGGATTATTCATGGGCGCATTTAAGGATTAAGAACCAAACAAGAGCAGGCTCTAATGAATGGATTGTAAAATCCATAGGGTGGAATTTGCTTCAACTGCAAAAACCTTGTGTAATTAGGCTTACCATTATGGACAGTGTAAGTGAGGAAGGGAAGACGCCGTTTGGGAATCCCAGCCCCAGGAGTGCCAGCCATAACCCAGCTCCCAAACCCCACGGTTTGCACCAAAACCCACACTATGGCACAGCTTTGCCATTTGCCTCTTCCCAGCTCTCACCACTTCCGAGGTCTGGCCCCTAATTCTTTTCTCGTTCGCCCTGTTTGGGCTCTGCACGTTGAAAATCCTTACATCCAGCCAAGCATCTTCCTGCTGCTGAAGCCAGTCTGGCAGAACAGGGCCCGTTTCTGCCTGACTATGGAGGAACTTAAAATAACACAAGCCAAACAATTTGCTGTTGTAGCTCAAGAACAATTAGCAGCGGACAACAGCTCTTGCTTGCTGGTAGACTGGAAACCCTGTTTTCCAGCAAGACACCGTCCATCAGAGAAGTTTAATGGAAGGAGAAAATGTTTTAACAAAGCAAACAAGAATGAAAGTGACGAGCGGATGGTCTAAGAACCAGTCAGTAGATGGCACTGGCGCAGTATGAGATGGAGCAGAGTTAAGAGACTGCGCATGCCTGCAAGGCTATGATCTTATTAGCATCGTGGAGACATGGTGGGATAGCTCCTCCTGTGACTGGAGTGGTGGAATGGAAGGATGCAGGCTCTTCAGGAAGGGCAGGGTGGGGAGAGAAGAGGAGGGAATATATGTCCCCAATACAAGAAGGACATGGATCTGTTGGACTGGGTTCAAAAGAGGGCCACAAAAATGACCAGAGGGCTGGAGCACCTCTCCTATGAAGAAAAACTGAGACCAGAGTTGGGGTTTGTTCAGCCTGGAGAAGAGAAGGCTCTGGGGAGACCTTAGAGCAGCTTTCCAGTACCTGAAGGGGGCCTACAGGAGAGATGAGGAGGGATCAGGGAGTGTAGTGATAGGATGAGGGGTAAGGGTTTTGAAAGAGAGGAGATTTAGATTAGATATTAGGAAGAAATTCTTTACTGTGAGGGTGGTGAGACACTGGAACAGGTTGCCCGGAGAAACTGTAGATGCCCCATCCCTGGAGGTGTTCAAGGCCAGGCTGGATGGGGCTTTGGCAACCTGGTCTAGTGGGAAGTGTCCCTGTCCATGGCAGGGGGGTTGGAACTAGATGATCTTTAAGGTACCTTCTCCAACCCAAACCATTCTATCCATAGGAAAAAACATAGCAAGACCTCTCCCATTTGATTGAATTCAGGAGATAACAATCTCTCTATGTTGCTCTTCTTACTCATGTGCTGTATCGGAATGCCACGCATGTTATTAGACCTTACAGCTTTAGGCACAGATAGTCAAAAGTGCATGAGAACACCACAAAGTCCTCTTCCCAAAGCAAATGAAGAGTGACAAACAGCAGAATTTACAAAAGAGACATCTGGATGCTACAGCTGACACACCAAGAGGGTTTCTCTGCAAAAGAAAGGAGGAGCATACTTTATATGAAGTTTATACAAGGTTAAAAGCAGTAGAATTTTTATATTTTTGTGTGTTAAGGTTTACATTACACTTGCAGTCCTCCTCAGGTGCTATGGCTATTATATGAGCTTGTACTGGTGCATACTGAGAGCTAATCTTCCTCTTTAACCAAACCCACTTCGTAACACACACACACACTGTCAATGAGACCTAGCTGGTGCATTCTGGGATTCTTGCCTAATTTTATTTTTTTAATCAAGTCTGACACTTTTGCCCCAAGCAGGGACAAAACAAAAGGCCAAGCACTATTGAATGACATTGTTAGCCATGATAGCTGTGGCTTCTGCCAATAGTAGTTAGAAAGCAATGTTTCACCCAAGCCTCAGCTTGGCTCTCAGAGCTTGGACTAACTCTGCACAATGACAGTTGCCGAGGGGGGGCTGGAAGTCAGCAAGTCTGAAGAAATACCTCCAAGATCAGCTCTGCTGCTGCCTAACCTTGGGGGCACCTGAAGGACTGAAGTTGGGCTTTTCACAGACTTGCATAGGTGTCTACAGTTCTCTTCAGATCCCCCTCCCCTGCCTGGGCAGGGAGAGAAGTGTTTTTGCAGGCAGAGTCGGAAAGGCTGCCACCACACTCAGCTGGAGGGTGCTGTTCCCACAGCAGAGACATAACTGACTGTGCAAACCATCCCGGTCCATCTCAGTGTAAAACAAATCTCATCAGCTTTAAAATATCTTTCACAGAAAATGGTGTGATTTCAACAAGCCCCTCACAGAATTTGAATACTTCTATCCTTGGTTGTACGTTTGTTGCCCCTGTCCTGACTTGATTCTTTACTTCCACAAAAGCTCATGAAGTCAGGACCTAACTGGATGGACTGGAGTTTTATTCTCAAATGAGAGGAGCAAAAGGTTCCCAAGAATCCACCTCAGTGCTTTCCTTTTTGCTTTCTCTAGGATCCTACCACCTCCTCAGCAAGGAGATATAGAAACTGCAGACATCTGCCTGGCCTCTGTCAAGCAGCTTGCCTGTTACATAGATGTATCATACACGGTGCCTCCAGAGTTTCTCAGCTGTCCTACTCATGCTCTTTAAAACAAAGAAAAAAACCCCAAAATAAAACCCCATTATTTGTGACTGCCAGGGATTTTAATAATAATAAAAAGAACAAAAAGCCCTTGCAAATCAATCCTGCCACTGTGTTACCAAACACTTAGGGAGAACTGAAATTCAACCCGCTGCTTTTCAGTGTTAGAGCTGATGCAAACAGCGGTATATAAACCGTCAGACCATCTGTTTTGGGTAATTTTGAAATGCACTGTGGAAGCAGTATTTTCCACAGACTTGCAGTAAGGAGGGCTGATCTCATGAGGACTCATAAACTAAGCAGAATCAGACCTCATTAATTTGTGGGAAGAAGACTTAAAAGAAAACCCCAGGCTGGGCTCTCCAGCTCTAGAACGATGAATCTGTGCACCAAATCACACCTTCTTCATTTTTATTATTTGAACAAAATACTAGACTTGCCCCTGGTTTTTTGCAGCAGGTGGGAGCAGGGGAAGCTGCTGCAGCTCAGGGCTGCGTGTTCCAGCAGAGCTCTTTGAGGACAGGGCTGGGTGGGAGAGCACCGTGTTCCCAGTTGGGTTTCCAGCTCCTCCTGGCACCCACGGCACCAGAGCAAGGCCAGCAGGAATCAGAGGGTTAGCTCTGGGAAGGGGATAGAGCAGAGCCAGTTGCAAGAGGTTAAGGCTTAGCACGTGAGTTCTGATGAGAGTTGGAGGGGGTTTTGTTTAGTTGGTTGTTTTGGGATTGTTTTGTTTGTTTTAAAAGAACCTTACCATTTTTAAAAAAAACAAAAAACAAAAAACCAAACAACATCACCTAGTTCGACCTTCAATTTTTTCAAGCATGGACTGGAATTTATGACTCAAGATAAGCTTATTTTAGAAGGTTTATTTTGCAACCCCATAAGCAGCACAAATACATTTTAACACTCATTCCTTTTGAGTTAGTAGTAGGAAAAATATGCTTAATTGGTTACTGATAGAGATTCCCTGATTCAACTCCACAAAGAATTTCATGGTCATAAAGCATTTCCTAGTATACTTCATTAAAAAGGATCACTGGTCCCAGTATCCTGTCGTAGCTCCGCACTGGGTAATTATGTTATCCTACTGATGGTCCTATTTAGCTCACATCTGACTTGGATACTACAGAATTTCCTTTTCTGAAGTGCTATACTCAGGTTTAACAGCTGCTCTGCTCTGGAAGAGGTGATATTTCAGTACCAAGAGCAAACATTCTTGTCTTTTTAAGTTTACTAAAAGCTTTAAAACCAAGTGGGGTAAGAAGAGCAGTGTATATGTATTTAACTAATATGCTTTAACACATAGCAAATTGCATCAACACAATAGTACCAGAGTGCTGATTACCTTTAAATACCAAGAGTTCATGGGCACTTTTTAACACCACAATGCTCACATATTAAAAAGAAAAATAAAAAAAGACTGATATAAAATTTTATTGTATTTTTCCAGTCTTCAAACATTTGTTTAACATAAAGGATGACATATAGCACACAGAAGTAATATAAAAAAAAACCCACAACCTTGTATGCCTTTGTAACCATCTTTCAAGAGATTAGGAATTTGGCTACTCTAAGCTACAGCAAAATAATAAATAATAATAATTATGCTCTGATCCAAACATGCCTCACAAATAAATTGATACTAAAACAATATGTGGTCAATTCCATCAGCCATTAAATTATAGTCACCTCTAACATGAAATATGTGAGCAATTTAATCTTGCACAAACACAAATTAACACAGAAAGCAGAGTACTCTATCTATGTGAAACGACAGGGAGCAAACAGTTATCTGCAATGGAATTTGGCATGGACACGAACATTAATACCCCAGGCTCTTTTATGATAACAAAAGGTCTGACACCCAGTTTTCCATCAAGTTTAAAATAAGGCACTTTTGTGCCTGATAAAACTGTGCTGAGACATTACTTTGCTAGTGTCTAAAGGAAGAGAATTACGAGTTCCACTTGTTGACAGCAATGGTTTCTAACCCTGTATGTTGGCCTGCAGGACACACGCTCATCTACGGAGCTGCCTCACTGAGCACAGACGAGATTCAGCTAAAAGTTAAAGCTCATGCTTGTTCCACAACAGTTAAACCCAGACTCCTCACTGACGTACCACACTGTGCACACTGAGGCATTAAGAGATATCTTGAGTGAATACAGGGAAGACAAAAAATAAAGCTGGAGAAACTGGTACTGAATAAAAGACAACTTGAACTAGACATCCTAGATCTGAGACAACTTATTCCTGCTCTGACCCAGATCTTTAAGCTCTCTAGTGAATGACCTTCCACCTTCGGTGGGTGCAGGGTAACCAGTTTGCTTCAGCCATCTGACCAGGAGACCACAGCACATCAGCACAGAGCTGGAATACTCTGTCCTGTTTGGGGCTCCTCGGTACAAAAAAACCCCACTGAGCTCAGAAGAAGAATGTCAAGTTCTTTGGGGTAGGAGAACATGATATTCAAGGATAAGCTGAGAGAAGTGGGCCTGTTCAGTTTTAAACACAGAAGATGAAGGGGAGACCTTACTGCTGTCTACATCTACCTGATCAGAGGACACTAAGAAGATGAAGCCAGAGCCTTCTTGGAGGAGCCTGGCTGCAGGACAAGAAGCAAAAAAAAAAAAAAAAGCAAGTTGGAACATGGGAAATTCTGATGACATACTAAGGAATTATTTTATTTTTTTAACCATGGCAGCGGTCAAATATTGGAACAGATTGCCCAGAAAGGTCGTGCATCTCCATCCCTGGAGGCATTCAAGACTAGACTGGACAGACCCTAAGGAAGCCCTGTTTTGAGAAGATGTTGGACTGGATGATACCTGGATGTTCCTTTCAGCATGGCAAGGTACAGAGCAATGAAATAAAGCATCAGAGGAGTGAAGATTTATGTATCTTTCACTGTCTAAACAACATCAGAGAGACAATCTGGAGGCTGGTTGAGACCATGTGGGTGCTACTTATCAGTGAGGTAAAATTACCCAAGTGAGAGAGATATGGGGAGAGTTACAGGGTTTGCTGCTGCGGAGTCATTCACTACAGCTGGAGGTACATCTACACATCCGCAACTGTTTAAGTCATTCTGTAACTTACTAGCTACAAATAATGTTTTCTACTCTCCTGATTTGAATTAGAATTTTTTTCACCTTCCTGATCTGTCCTAACCTGGATTCCTCACACTTTTATTAGTTCTCAACCATCACAACAATAAGGTTTTCCACAGGCAAAACATTCTCAGCACCCAGGAGGCTCCAGCTAACAGTGAACTGTGAATTGCAGTTCAGGCATTCTCCACTTGCTACCCTACCTTTGTATAAAACTTTACTGAGATAAGGACCAAGACATAGAATTTAAGTTGCTTCGTAACCTGGATTGTCTAGAAAACACCTAAAGCTTCACAATGAGACTACATCTGTGCTCCTGCCCACATTCATAATTCATTTCTACTCTAGTGTGACACACCAAGCTTCCTTAAAAGCCAAAACAAAGACTGAGAATTAACTCCCCAGCAACTTAAAACCACAACGTGGACGTAAAAACAAAACATGACCCTGCCTCTCTAACACAAACACATAGCAGTAATGCATTATTAAAAAAGCAACAAAACCAAACATGCAGAGCAGTAACAAGAAAACTCTTTCAAAACAAAATTCCACCATGTTTTTCTTTATCTGGAAAGAAAATGACAGAACAAACACACACATGGCAAATGTTAGCCAGCTTGCCAAACACACGATTAGAATAAGCTGAAGTGCTGTGTGATAAGAATGGTTTAAGCAGCTCTACAGCACAGAAGAGATGGCAAGTCTGAACTTCTCCCTCTGCTTGGCTCGGAGGCTATTACTCAGACTATTGCTTTCAAAGAGGCTTAAGAGGCTTGAGGATAAATGTGCTGACTTGCCAGGTTGCCTCTAAGTGTCCTCAGGTGCATTCACCTGGTAGTGAGACCTCAAACATCCTGTGTGGGCAAACCCAGAACGCTGAGCAGAGCCTGACCACTTCCTCCTGTCAAAATAACCCGCTGTGGCAGGATGGGACCTACCAGCTAAAGTGTGGTATAACCAGTGCATTAAAAATTCACTTTGACACCCCTAAGCAAGTTATTTGGCCTCTTTGCTTCAGTTCCCTGCTGTAACAAGAGAACACTATTACTTAGCTCTCATTCTCTGCTCAGTTTATGAAGATCAGTAATTACTGTTTGATAATTTAATGTTTAAATGCCAGGAGGCATGCTAGACTTTACATGTTCAGAAAAGGAAGTGCCAAATGCTTCATAGCCCTATTTTTTCCCTATATGAAATAATAAGGTAGCTGGATGTGCTTCCAGCCATGTTATGGAAGCATATTTATTTCTTGTGTACATCTTTGACTATGTCATGCAACACTGTAAGCAGGAAAAAGGAGCTCTGGCAGCTTACCTGCAGTTTCAATACAAGGGTACGAAGGAGGAGGTTTCTGCCATTTCCCATTTGCATCTTTCATATGAGATCTGTCTGAAGCAAACGTCTTCAAGTACAAGTCTGCTCGAATCATTCTGATTTTCCTAAATAATAACATTAAGTTGTATCAAAAGACACATATATACAATACATTACTGCATTAGTCACTTAGAACAGGAGTCCTTTCCTCCCATCAAGGAGCATTAATTTCATTAAATACATAAATCAGCAATATTGTCCCAAGCAGTTAACTAGTTAACAAGAAACTACAGCAGAAAAGAAAAGGGCTTTTGATGACTAAGATAAAGAGCTTTAGAAAAATAACACAGTCCATTTATTTTACTGGAGTATAGCAACAAAAAAAAACACCAAACAAAAACCCTCTTGTCACTACACATGCACAAAAAGAACTTCAACTTGGATTTAATGAAATAACATTCATGGCCTTTGTATTTTGTGTCATCACCTGTGAAATTCTGGATGAAGGCTGTCATCCAACCGAAAGGCCTCCACACTGTACACGTCAAAAGGACACGGGAACGGCAACACAGTGTCAAGATCATAAATGAAGTTCTGCTCCCCGCTGGAAACATGAAGTAGAATGACATGGTAGTCCTAGAAAAAAGGGTCATTGCCTTTAGTTAAATACCCGTTCACGAGAAACTGGCAAAGGGAGTGAAAAAAACCCCAAACATTTTCTGGAAGCAAAAGCTAAAGATCCTCTCTTTAAATCCTGTTTTCTGCCCTTGAGTTATTAAACCTGTAACATTTCTGGCAACAGCAGAAAGATTTCCTAACCCCTGTCTCGCCCATGGTGCCTTTCAAGAAACTTTATCTTCCCCGTTCCTTAGCTGCCTTCTTGGTTGTAAGCCTGGACAGCTAAACTAAAGTGTACACCACTCCTAAGAAAATGGCAAATGTCTTTCATGATCCACTTCAAAACAAAAAAAAAAAAGTTGAATGGGACAAGCATTTTTGTCTTAGACCCAGTCCTATACAAACTCACAACAATAGATGATACCTCATCATTAAAATTATCCAGAGATCTCTTCTAGTAAGAGATGTTGTACCTGCTGCAGTAACACTGTCTGGGAATTTGAGTGCTGAGTGTCTGGCTGCCTGAAGCACCTGGAAAAGCAGCACGTGACTGAATGAAGCAGCCGATGGCTCCTATCAAGGGGATGGCAGGGGTAAGAGGAATTCCTGTTGTAGCTCTTGAAGCTGGGAAAAAAACCACCTGTGGGTACTATTATCCCACCTTTTCAAGGTAACCATTTTGTCTTGACACTTGGGCTACAAGGTACTGTTTCATTCCTTAACTTGGAAGAAACAGGTGTGGTGGAGGTCTGGAGACGCTGCAGTTACTTATGATAGATGTCAGGTATGTACACTGCTGCTTCCCAAACTTAAATTGAAGGTAGCTGTTAGCAGCTTACTACAGCTTACATTAAATCCACTAACAGAAGTCTGAAGCCCCATGTTTTGACACTTCCAATATAAAACAAAACCACAAAGGGATTGGAATGAAAAAGATCTTGGGCACGCTATTTTGCCAGACCAAGACACATATACAACTGTATGCAAGAATATTTAGCAGAATCTGTTACAGAGTATAAGAAAAAAAATAACTACAAGCTTTACATATTCTACAATCCACTGAAACGAAGTTAAAACACCTTTTGATTTGTGATCTACACTCTGCGGTGGCCCTTCCTGACTCTCCTAGTCCTTTTTAGATAATCTTCATAACACTTGGATCTCTTTTTAAACTAAACGTTTTCTGCACTATAAATACACCGATATTTTGGGAAAGAATGAATGATTCAGAAATCACAGAACTTCAGAAGTTTGCACATTATTTTGCAGAATTTCAGAAACAAAAATTGTGCCAAGAAACAGACTTTTTTCCTTGCCAGATAACAGAAAGAACTCTGTAATGATACATATTTGAAAGGAATTCTGTAGTGGCAATTGCTGAATTACATTAGTTGATCAAATGACACTCCAAAGCCACCATTTATGGGTCAGTTTAATTGCTGACACCTGAATACACATATTTTTTGCATTTTTCTATCCTCCGTCAGGCCTACATGGATATTTTCATCCATCTACTTCTTACATGTACAGACATCTACATAAAATTCCACAAAGACGAGAGCTTCAACAATATCCAGATGGTAATTTTCACAAATCTGTTATGTAATCTTACTAACATTAAGGTTTTTCACCTCTAGATTTTACTGACTGTCTCGCTGTCAATTTACTATGAATGGTAGAAAGGAGCACCAGATTTAGGCTCTTTATAAATCTGTTGTTAAAGAATAATAAATATTAATAGAGAATTATAGAATGGTTGAGGTTGGAAAGGTCATTTGGGCCAACGCCTCTGCTCAAGAATTGACCTAGAGCCAGCAGACCGGGACTGTGTTCACACACCTGTTGAATATCTCCAAGGATGGAGACTCCACAACCTCTCTGGGCAACCTGCTCCAGTGCTCCATCACCATCACAGTAAAAAAGTTACAGAATCATAGAATGCTTTGGGTTGGAAGGGACCTTAAAGATCATCAAGTTCCAACCCCCCTGCCATGGGCAGGGACACCTCGCGCTAGACCAGGTTGCTCAAAGCCCCATCCAGCCTGGCCTTGAACACTTCCAGGGATGGGACCCGTTTCAGATGGGACAGTTTGTTACAGTGAAGGCGACTGACACTACAGCTATCAACTACAGAAGCACACACTTGAAATTACTGAAAAAGAGAAAAGAATGCCTTACCCAGACAACAGGCTCGTCTCCATGTCCCGATTTCTGCTTCCAGAGTGGAATCTGAAAGTTATATGTGAATAAATCTGAAGTGAATAAAGCATTTCAGATTAATACGGATTAATTTTGGGTTAATTGGTTAGTTCTTTGCTAATCTATCCATTTCATCAACTTACATCTGTGCTGCAGTCAGAAAATTTTCCCTAGTTTCTATCTTTCAGGAGCATAAAGTCAGTGATTCTAGTCTGGACCACATAATACAATCATTCTCCTAAAGTGACAGGTTACAGGGAAGACCTCCCCCACAGCTCATAGGGACACTGTGCCTCTTCCCATGGTCCTCAACACATCAGATAACTGAAAGATCTCACGTGGTGAGGTTTCCATGCCTCAGAGCCAAAGTGAGCTACAGGAGGGTTTTGGCCCGTGTCTCACTTACGGGTTGGGCTGAAGTCTAAAGGCCTGGGACCACGTCTCACCCACGCTGGGCTGCAGTCTGAAGGCCTGAATCCCACCATAGCTGCATTCAGATGACATCTCATCGACTCACCATCCTCCTATCATTGGATATGAAAACAGCATAAAATTCTTCTAATGGGTATTGATTCTGACTCCTGATGTAGTCACAAAGTTTCCAAACGTTTTCTTCGCTGTAAAACAGAAGAATTGATTTATTATTGCCTCACGATGGGGGGTGACTGGAAAAGAGCTGTGTCTGGTTCTGGGCTCCCCAGTTCAAGAGGGACTGGGAACTACTGGAGAGAGTCCAGTGGAGGGCTACAAATATGATCAATGGAATGGAGAACCTCTCTTTGAGGAAAGGCTGAGAGACCTGGGTCTGTTTAGCCTGAAGAAGAGAAGACTGAGAGGGGACCTCATTGATGATTATCAACATCTAAAGGGCGGGTGTCAAGAGGATGGGGTCAGGCTCTTCTCAGTGGTGCCCGGTGACAGGACAAGGGGAAACGGACACAAGCTGGAGCACAGGAAGTTCTGCCTCAACATCTGGAAAAACTTCCTTACTTGGAGGGTATCAGAGCCCGGGAACAGGCTGCCCGGAGAGGTTGTGGAGCCTCCTTCTCGGGAGACATTCAAAACCCACCTGGACGCGTTCCTGCCCAGCCTGCTCTGGGTGTCCCTGCTTTGGTGGGGAGGTTAGACACGATGATCTCCGAAGGGCCCTGCCAACCCCCCCCCATTCTGTGATCCCGCCTCACGGTGTGTGCGGGGGGCGTCTCGCCTCACAGCCCCCGCCTCACGGTGCGGGGGGGGGGAAGCTCTCGCCTCACAGCTGTCGCCCCACGGCTCCCGCCCGCCCCCCGCCACGGCCACCGGGCGGCCCTTACCAGTAGCAGCTGGTGTAGGCGCAGGCGGGGCGGGGCGGTACCGCCGCCTCGTAGGCGGCCGCCGGCCGCGCCATGGCCGGCCTCGCCGCGGGGCGGGGGGTGC